AGTCTCTGTGGCCGGCATCTTCAGAGGACTGCGCTCTTTGCTCTGGTGTAGTTGGCTTGGGAGTGCTCTGGTGTAGTTGGCTTGGGCACTCCCAAGCCAACTACACCAGAGCACAGAGTGCTGTCCTCTGAAGATGCCAGCCACAGAGACTGGCGAAACGTTAGGAAGAACAACCTTCAGAACACGGCCAAAGAGCCTGAAAAACCCACAACAACCAGTAGCAACAATAATATCACAATGGACTTGCTGCCAAAGCAGAGAGATTTCATAGGGGAAGAGGCAGGACCTTCAAGGCTGCTGATCTCACCTACCACTGCTATATCTGTACCAGATCTGAACGCAATCTTCATCCTCTGGTTTAGAATGGATCCCATCATCCGGCTGATTCCCATCCCAGTAATTGTAGTCATACAAGGAACCATCGGTCCATTCATAATTGCTTTCCTGCCAAAGGGACCATGAGCAGGTTAGGCTAAAATCATCATCATCATCAGGCAAGGATAAGCAACTTGTTGACCTTCAGACCTTCTGGGACAACGGCTCCCCGCCAGTGTGGCAAGGAGCTAGAGCCCAAAACAGGTCAGTACTGGCAACCCATGTAATATGATCCTCTTAGTTTTAGATTTTGTTTTTAAGGAATTTACATTGTTTACCAAAAGCTGACTTTGCAAGTTTTATTCAGCCCTTCATTTCTGCTTTCTGATTTGTTTCTCACGTTGTGTTACCTGGCCCAGATCAAAATGTTCTTGTTGATATTCTTTATGACAGGCATCAGTTAGCATTCATATTGTTCTCCTGAACATTACTTTTGTTTTTTGATTATTTAGCTCTCAACCAACTTTATCTGATATTCAGTTTTTCCAGCATACTTTTGTAAGTCATCAGTTATCTGCTATACCTTCTACATCACTGGCATCTCTAAGGTGACTGAGTCCCTTCCCATTGATATTACTTCCCTGATCAAGATCTGAGAACACCTCCTGTAATGCTGTCATAAATAGTTTGATTCACAGAGTCTCCTGATTTCACTTCATGTTTAATTGGTGCTTCCCTTGTATTTTCATATAACTGTAGAACCACTGCTGCTTGTTCAGAAATTGATTTCATGATATCAATTTCAGATATATATCAGACTATATATCTATAGTCTGATACCCAGTGGTGTATTGGATAGAATTACAGCCCAGGACTCAGAAGACCTGGGTTCAAATCCCAGCTCAGCCATAGAAACTCACTGGGGCAAGATAATGATAAAACCATTCCTGAAATACCTAACTTATCTTGAAAATCCTATTGGGATCACTATAAGTAAGTTCTGACTTGATGGCACATAACAACAAATGTGAAGTTTCTTCTGTACCTTTTCTACTGCCCACAGTTCAATACTACCAAAGCTTTTTTTTTCATTATACATATGCCAAATACAACAGTCAATTATATTCAGTTAATATTTCTATGAGCCTTCCAAAGTGGGAATGTGATCACATAGACTGAAATATTTCCTAAATCCTGATTGTTTGATTGATTGGGAAATGTCTAGCCTTTTCCTAATATTATTAAAATATTTTGTTAAAAGGCTATAAGTTTATAATAACAAGGCTATAGGTCTATAGTTTTCCAGTTGCTCTTATCTCCTTGTGAAGAAACAGAGAAATTAGGGGAACATGGAACCTGAAATCCATCAGACTTCGAGGCTTCTTTGTGAGTGCCTGGGAATGCTGCCTGAGAAGGCAGAAATCAGTATCAGTCAAGAACCAAGGGGAAGCGACACCTTCAGTGGTCTGAGGGGCCTTCAACGCAGTCCAAAGGGGATCTAGCACCTCTACCTTACCTCTTGACTTCAAAAGCCAATCGGCTTCCTTCCCTAAAGAGTCATGTAAATTAATTAAAGGAGGATTACAGCTGCGTGAAAGGAAGAGAGGAAGGTGCTTTCATTTTGGTAAGCATGAAAGAGAACTAAATGTTGATTTAGACAGGTCTGCAATAAGTCATTTAATAATGTATAAAAGGAATTTGGAAAACTGGTTAGTTAACTTTGCCTTTCCTGTCCCTAAGGAGAGAGGGCTTTGTTCACCTGCTGTTCCCCAGTGCCTTTAAGGATGCATCCTCTTTATATCTCAGAATTATGCTGATCCTGCACTATGGTGTGTATATCAGGTAGATAAGTTTAACTATTATTCTCTAGTTTGTTTCAGAATCTGAGACAAAAAATTTTTGAAACCTTCTTGTAACTTTGTGGAACTTTTTGTCTATTTATCCTTTACTCTCTTTTTTTGGCTTTCGTTAATAAAACAGAAAAGTCTCTTCAATCAAGTACTTGAATTTTTAGACTCAGAGGATTTGTGGTATTAAAACTAGGTCTTGCTTTGACCAAGCTTCCAGCGACTTTTGGTATTTGTGTGGGTGTGGTGGCAGCTCTCTCCCCTTGCCAGGCTGGTGCATGTTCTAAGTGCCTAGCTTTGTGGCTTTTGGGAGTCCCCAGGTGCACTGCTGCGTCTGAGTGGACTGTAGTATTTGGGAGTGACATGGTTCCTGTCAGGTTCCGTAGCCTTCACCACATGTGACTCCTTTGGCAAACCCATCCTAGGATGGGCAAGGGGTATAATCTGGCTGAGTGGCTATAGAGACGGACCCTGACTGGGCAACCATCACACTACTGTACAGTACTACTAGAGAATTGTTACAATCTTCTGGTATTCTGATACCACTTAGACATTGCAGTGCTTTTATTAATGTTTCATACATAGAGGCCCTTAATCAATTCTGCTGTCACCTTGTTTCTTCCTAGGGCTTTGCTGTTCTTCATACTTTTCATATTTAACTTTTAATATTTGCCACTAGTCACCTATGCTACACAGACCTGGACTCTTAATGAAATCAATAGGGGAAAAGCTTGCAAAAGCTCAGAAAGCAATGGAAAGAAAGAAAAAGATTAACAGATAAAGTAAGAAACCAGGATATTATCAAATATAATTGATATAAAAGAACAAATACAGTGGGGGCTTGACTTGAGAACTTAATCCGTATTGGAAGGCAGTTCTCAAGTCAAAAAGTCTGTAGGTCAAGTCTCCATTGACCTACAGTGCATTGAAAACCGATTAAGATAAAGTAAGAAACCAGGATATTATCAAAAATAATTGATGTAGAAGAACAAATAGCTTTATTAAAAAGGAGATGGGTGGGCCATACCATGAGTCCAATAGTTGGGTGAGGGAATAAAGAAATACATCAATGGTGATCAATAGTGGAAGAGAAGAAAGAGTGGGGGAGGACTGGAAACTAGATGAATCAATGGTATTAAAAGCAGGATTGGCACGGATTACAATAATGGAAAGCAGAAATGGGTGGATGCAAAAAAGGGAGGCCTGTGTACAACCCAATGGGCTAAAGGGTCCACTGTAGCTTTATTAAAAAGGAGATGGGTGGGCCATACCATGAGTCCAGTAGTTGGGTGAGGGACTAAAGAAATACATCAATAGTGATCAATAGTGGAAGAGAAGAAAGAGTGGGGGAGGACTGGAAACTAGATGAATCAATGGTATTAAAAGCAGGATCGGCACAGATTACAATAATGCAAAGCAGAAATGTGTGGATGCAAAAAAGGGAGGCCTGTATCCAACCCATAAAGGAGGAGGAGGAGAAAGAGAAGAAGAGTCCCAAGTAGCTGAAGGGCAGAGAATTCCATACCTCTGTGCTAATGAAAATATATGGGAAATAATATACAAGCAGAATCCCTGCCCCTACATCAATGCATATGCTCTCTATATTTCATGAGGAGTTCTATGGTGACGTATGAATCAACGGTCCCCAGAAGGTGCTCTCATTCAGAACCCTGTTCTAGTCCTGCAAATCTGAGCAAGCTTCCTTTATAAAAGTGAATCCATCTCATGCTAGTTGTTCCTGCTTTTCTTTTCTCTCCCCCCTCCTTTCTTAGCACTATTGCCTTTTCCAGTGAGTCTTCTTTTCTCATTGATATATGACTGGTTCAGTTTAGTAATTTTTTTCCTTATAGTGATGTTTTAGGCTTGAATTGATATAAAATGCCCTTATCTCTTTCTGGCAGTCCATGGTATGTGTAAAACTCTCCTCAAAGACCCTATTTTGAATGTAGCTTATAAAAGCAACCGTTAAACAATATGCTGCTACTTTGCACTTGGTCATAGTCTATGTACTTTTGCCACTGCTGCTGTTGTCTTCCCTAACCCAGCTCCCTCCAGATGTGTTGTACGACCATGCCCATTATCCCGGAGATGGCATGCTGGAAGATTATGGAAGTTGTAATTCAGCACATTCGGATCAGGCTGGGTTGGGGATGATCGGACAGTTGTCTGGCCGCTGTAGCCTCTGCACCTATATCTTGCAGAAGGCTGAAAAGCAGCGAACGCTTCCATTGTGCCTGGTTCCTGCTTTAGTGACCAGAGGCCCTTGCTGAGGTCATCAGACAAAGAGGAATGAGCAACGACTGGGTTTAGATCTGGGTCATCAACCTTCTGAATTAAATACCCCTATCTGCCTCTCCTTGCCTTTTTAAGCTGTATTTTTTTAGACTGAAAGGTTGTAGGCCAGGGCTGTTCTGTTTTCTGTTTTCTGCAAGCCCTTCTGGAAGTATGTTATAAACACGTGAAGTGAATCCGTGACCGCACATATAGTCGCATATTTTTAAAGTCTGCAATTTGATCTCATACTGCAGAGCGCTGGAAAATACTAGGAACTAAAATTGCAGATCCCCATAAATGTTGGGGACTGCAGCCCCCCAGCATCAGACAGCCATACTAGCAGGCAGATAGATAGACAGACAGACAGATTGAGATTGATAGTGTAGTGGGCCACTCTCAAGCCTCTACCAATACAGGCCTCCAAGAGTGTTCACTACTATTCTTCACTTGCTGCCACCAACCTATCCTTAGTACTCACAAAGGACAAGTTTTTCTTTTACAAAAACTGTGTGTATTGATTTGACAAAATAAAAGGAGTGAATCACAGGTAGTAAATCAGGTTGTAAATCAAGTTTCTCATTTAATGTACCTCACACAGACTTTTCCCTCATTGACTATCTCTCACAAATCTCTCTCTCTCTCAGACAATTAATCTCATCACCCAAACTCCAAAACTCTCTCACACACATCACACCCCACCTTGTATCATCCAGCTCCTCCCCTTCTTGGAAAATACTAGGAACTAAAATTGCAGATTCCCATAAATGTTGGGGACTGCACCCCCCCCAGCATCAGACAGCCACACTAGATAATGTACCTCACACAGACTTTTCCCTCATTGACTATCTCTCACAAATCTCTCTCTCTCTCAGACAATTAATCTCATCACCCAAACTCCAAAACTCTCTCACACACATCACACCCCACCTTGTATCTGCACCCCCCCCAGCATCAGACAGCCACACTAGAAGGCAGATAGATAGACAGACAGACAGACAGACAGACAGACAGACAGACAGACAGACAGATTGATAGATTGAGATTGATAGATTGACAGATAGATAGACTGACTGACTGACAGACAGATTGATAGATTGAGATTGATAGACAGACAGACAGACAGACAGACCTATTCAATTTCTGATCTCAGAAGTGTGAAAACTACGTTCTCTAAAATTACCTTGGCCCTCCATGGCTTCAACAACAACAACACCAATTTCAGCCTTTTGTTTTTTTCCCTCCTCTGGCCTAGTGAAGATACCCAGAGCACTCAAAAGTTCTCACTTTTTCAGTTCACCCAATTTATTTTTCTTATAGCTGGTGACATACCTGCCTTTGTTTAATACATGTCATGTACAGTAATAAACAGCATTCTCACCTGTCTTAGATCATTAAGTCCCATCCAGATATCTGTGGGTATTCCAGGCACTCGGCTGTTCACCAAATCATATACAAACACATTTTCTTCCCAGCTGCAAATATACAAGTACAAATATACAAGTACAGTAATTTATTCACCACAGGCTTGGGATAAGGGAGGATAAATAGTAAGAGTGGTGGTGTTCAATATGCTAGAACAGAAACCCCAAGGTAACAAGGTTGTAACAATTTACTGCAGAAATAATCATGGAGCACCTATAAAACTGTTTATTTTTCACAAGCTTTCATGTATCTAAGCATTAGTTATTTTTGGAATACAAATCCTACAGTCTCCAATCAGTACAGTCAGTGGCACTGGTGGCTAAACATTCTTGGAATTGTGGTACAAAAAATGATGTTTCCAATGACTGGAATGTTTTAATTTGGGGGGTGGGGCTAGTTTTGATTTGAAATTGTTTTCTTGAGGCAAGAATGTATTTATTTATTTATTTATTAGACTTCTACCCTGCCCATCTAGATCAAAGGTCTACTCTGAATGCGCTGATAAAGGTTTTGATCTTACAAACACTTTCCTGGCAATACAGAAGTCCTACTAAGGTTCAGCTGAGCTGACTTTAGTATAGATTGGATGGCCCTGCACTTCATGTCTGCAACCTCCAGTTCCCAAACCCCAGCCTTGAGGCCATTTTGACAGAGAAGAGAGAAGCAAAAGGAAGCAGGAATTAACAATCGCATCAGAGGAAACTGGGCTGGTCAAGGGACCTTGGTGCCTCAAAAAAACCACATTTTGACAGAGAAGAGAGAAGCAAAAGGGAGCAGGAATTAGCAATCACATCAGAGGAGACTGGGCTGGTCAAGGGACACAATGGGATATTATAAGCACAGGAACAGAGGTGGGGAACCTCAGGTCTGGGGGTCAAATCTGACCTTCGAGGTGACGTGACAATCATTATTTGGTAAATGCTGCTGCAAGGGTAGCCCATCAAAGCTTTGCCTTTGACCCTGCTCACAACTCGAATGTAGTGCCCGAGAACTTCTCTATAATTACCTTTGGCCCTCAGGGTGGAAGAAATTTCTGCCCTTGCAATGGAGCAGTTGGTACTGATGGCCACTAATTTAATTAGCTTCTGGGATCAGACAATATTTTTAATGAAGGATAAGGTGAATTATCAATGGCTACTACTCCTAATGGCTGTGCGTTAACTCCAGAACCAGGGGTAACCTGTCTATGAACACCACTTGCTAGGGAACGCAAGTGGGAAGATGTTATTGCGCTCATATGCCACCTACGGGCTTTCCAGAGGAAACTGGTTGGCCACTAGAAGAACAGAATTATGAACAGGCCGAGTTTTTGACCTAATCCATCATGGATTTTCGTGTCTTCTTACAGTGATGAGACTGTTGAATTCCTGGCACAAATGTCAAGCTGGGTATTTGCATTTAGTACCATATGGACGTAGGCCTTCCCCGAAACCTGAGTATGGAAAAGTTATCTTCTAGGATCCCCCAGCCAATACGACTACTTACTGGTCATGATTGCTGAGTTTGCAAGCCATGAGTTTTCAAGACCTAAAAATGGCTTTTAATGATAGGACATTTTGGAGGTTACTCAGTCACAAAGTAGTCATTAAGTTGGAAGTTACTTGACAGCACATAACAGCATGGTGGCTGAAGGATTCTGGGAGACCAGTTACCTCTTCGCACTCTGCTCCTAGCCTAACATGAAGCAAAATCCTTGTTGCATCTCCAAGCCAGTCAGAAATGAGAAGGCTGATGGATTGGTAAAAACGGACTGGCAGAATAAAACAACACTTGTTGCTTGGTTCTTACCTGTGAATGGACACTAATTTGGCTGATTTGAGGCCAATGGAAAACTCCGCACAATACAGATCAGCCTCTGCCCATGTTTTATTAATAGGAAAGTATCTGTAACAGTGCCCTTCATATTCTGTCCAGAAGAGAGGACAAGAGTAGGACAGGATTGATTCTGGCAAAGCTAGAGCGGCAAAAGGAAAAGGAACAAGTTAGAAGCACATCAGCTGAACCGTTTCTCATTTGGAAAAGTGGTTGGTTTTATTTGCTATCGGTCTTGGGAACCCAGGAGGTTACGCAGGTCAAGATGTTACCTCTATCTCAACCATGGCAAAGTCGCACATTGTCAAAATGAACAAGCAGCAGCTGTCATGCCTGGACATTGTGGCAGTTCTGATGATACACAATGCAAGGAGTGAGTGGGAAACTCTTTCAGGAGAAGCAAAAGGAAGCACACAGATAAAAACTCTTCACAGCAGTTGATTAGATAAGCCTTCTCCACTGATTCAGTGTGTCTGTGTCTTCAGACCACATGGTATTCAGATAGCCTGTCATGTCAATCACTGTCAAACATGCTATCGAATGCTCTGAGGAGGTATATGGAGCAAGCGATTACTTAAATTTTGGGCAAACCATCAATTTTGAAAAATTCCAGCCATGCTAGTAAGAGAAAAAGAGAGACCCCCTCTCCCCCCCACACCGCTCAAGTCTTCTGAGACTCGAAAGGACCACATGGTATTCAGATAGCCTGTCATGTCAATCACTGTCAAACATGCTATCGAATGCTCTGAGGAGGTATATGGAGCAAGCGATTACTTAAATTTTGGGCAAACCATCAATTTTGAAAAATTCCAGCCATGCTAGTAAGAGAAAAAGAGAGACCCCCTCTCCCCCCCACACCGCTCAAGTCTTCTGAGACTCGAAAGATGGATAGATCTATTTGCGAAGGCTTTCATGGCCGGGATCTAATGGTTATTGTGGGTTTTTCAGGCTCTTTGGCCGTGTTCTGAAGGTTGTTCTTCCTAACGTTTCACCAGTCTCTGTGGCTGGCATCTTCAGAGGACAGCACTCTGTGCTCTGATGTAGTTGGCTTGGGAGTGCAGTATTTATGGCTGTGAGATAGGCTTTTGTCTTTTTCTGTAGATGGGTGATTAGTATGTATTGTTGTGGGTGTATTATTGTGCTAAGCAGAAGAGATTATCTGTTCCTGTGGCTGATGGGTGTCATTAGCTGGTCTTTTGTGTGCAGTGATCCCCTGTCCTTGTGACTGGGTAGAGTTCGTTGACCTTTTGCACGCTGTATTTTTGAGAGCTGGGAGCCAAGTTTTTTTGAGCTTCACACTTTCCTCTTTTTTTGTTGAAACTGTGCTGGTGCTTCTGGATTTCAATTACTGCACAGGGAAGCCATTGAAATCCACAAGCACCAGCACAGTTTCAACAAAAAAGAGGAAAGTGTGAAGCTCAA